TAGACTCGGGCGGCGAAGGCACCACACCACCACCGCCGTGGACCAGGGCGGCCTATCGGGGGTGGGTTGCCTCGCGTGCGTGGCGCGGGCCCGTTCGGGGTGTCGTTCCGGGGGTAACGGTCGCCGAAGCGGGCGGCGGGAGGGGGCGGGGGCGCCACGCAGTCGGGCGCCAGACGGGTCGCCGCGCCCCCCGCCCCCGCCTCGGCGTCGAGGGTGGGGGCGGTTCGCGGAAGTCGCGGGTCCCCGCGCGCCAGCGTTGCCGGGTCGACACCAGCGTCTCCGGTCGATCGGGTTCTGGAGTAAGTGGAGCACCTATCCGCGGCTTTTATCGAGGGAGTGTCGTGTGAGCGTGGATGGACGGCGTTTGCAGGGTTGCCGGCGGTCTGGGAAATCGGGGAAATTCGGGGAAGTCAGGGAATTTGTGAGGAAAGTCAGGAATTGCTAACGACCGAAAAAAGTCGGGAAAGTCAGGGAACTTCTAACGACAGAGCAAAAATTAGGGAATTTGTAACGACCGAGAAAAGTTAGGGAATTTGTAGGGAAAGTCAGGGAATTTCTGGCATATGTTTAAGTCACCGAAGCATATCACTGAACTCCTAACGGTTTACTTTTTCGGGTAAACCCCTTTTTCAACTACAACTACCCTAACTACAATGTCTGGCTCAGTTTAGCACAGGGTGTCTAGCATCAGGATTTTCCCGAATTTCCCGATTCTATCAGGATTTGAGGTCAATCAGGACGTAATCCCGATTTCATCAGGATTTGAGGAAAAATCGGTCGTAAAATCAGGATTTGAGAAAAGTCGGCTGTCCGATCGGATTTTCTTATGCTTTCGCATACGCTTATGCTGAAACTTAAATTTTTCTCCGCAAAAAATCAGGATTTGGAAAAATTATGAAATAAGGATTTAGCAGTCAAAAATCAAGATTTCATCAGGATTTCCTCAAATGAAAAAAAACTAGACACCCTATAGAAACAACGTATGTACCATTAGTTTCCTTGTGTGTAACTTAGGTGTTTTCCAGACTAGCCAGAAATTGTACTTCCTAATTGCTAAATGTAGTCATATGTAAGTCGGAAGTAAGCACAGGTCTGTAATTTTTAAACATATCAAGAATAATTGAGAGAATCTGAAGAATGGGCCTGTTGCAAACTTTTGCTAGAGCAAAAATAAGAGTTGTTTCTTGTAGATAATGCCTCAAAAATCACGATGAGCGCATCGGCAAAGTCTGAAATGCACTCATAACTTCACAGTCTGCGTAAGAAATTTGCGGTTTTTTGAGCTTCCCGCTTCAAAAACGATACTACGGCACAGGTGAACATTTTGTAAGAGGAGTCGTTCCATCGTCGGCAATAATCATCATGGCCGACGCCAATCCGCCAAAACACGTTTGATGGGACGAGATAACACCTGAACAGGATTAGACCAGATAACAATCGGTGTGTTAACGTTCATATTTTCCACGCCCGAATTGATTGACCTTGAACTCTCCTCGAATTACGTGCGGAACTGCGCGCAAGCGTCGGCCATGATGAATATCGCCGACGATGGAGCGACTCCTCTAACAAAATGTTCACCTGTGCCGTAGTATCGTTTTTGAAGCGGGAAGCTTAAAAAAACGCAAATTTCTTACGCAGATTGTGAAGTTATGAGTGCATTTCAGACTTTGCCGATGCGCTCATCGTGATTTTTGAGGCATTATCTACAAGAAACAACTCTTATTTTTGCTCTAGCAAAAGTTTGCAACAGGCCCATTGCGTGATCAATAACCCACGTGCCACCTCTTCTCCGAGCTCCCTGTTTCTTAAGCATAACAGTTGAGATGTGTGTCTTCAGTCCATTTGCCTCGGTTCTCTTCCTCTTCCTCATTTTTCAACGTACAATCTCGAAGATTAAGCTGTCCGGCAATCCTGCTTTGGACGGTTCGGAGCATTGCATCACGAGAGAAGGAATTTATGCGGGGGAGGATGAAAGAATGCTGACTAGAATACCATCGAAGCTCGATGACGAGTCGGCTTCGAACAGGGCGGAGGGTGACTTCTTCGTCGGGCTCCGAAAGCAGGGTTCCTCGCTCCGGACGACGGAGTGAATGGAGCTATTAATTATGCCGGGAATTCATCTGGAAATGACACGAATAATTAACGCGAATTATCACCCCCGGCCCCCTCCCGACCCGTGGGGGTTGGAAATCGACCAGTGGGTCACGTCCCCTCGAAACCCTCGATCATCGCTCTTTCCGTGAGAGCGAGCGAAAAAATTGTTGAAACTTGGATGTCATCCCTCCCCCCCCCCCCCCCCCCCCCC